AGGGAATGGTTCAAACAAAATAAAGTGATTACCAGGTAGCTGAACTCTTGGTCTTGGTGTTGAGAGTCGTGGTGGTTTTGGGTCTGACGGTAGTGAACCACGCTCGATCACCTCGCCTGGGTTAGGTCTTCGAATACCCAAATAAGGTGCTAGCGCTGGTGGAGGCGGTATTTTTGAGCCAAACACTCCCATCGGACAACACAATCGTCCTTAATTATAGAGCAACGATTAATATTAAAACAGTAATAATAAGGATAAAATGACTTGTTACATGCTAGGATGTAAGACTAAGCTGGTACGGCATTCTATGTGCGAAATCATCAATAAGCCATGCATGAGTGCTGCGCATGTCACTTTTCGTATATTGTTCGTTGTCAGAGTAATAACCACAAGTTTACAAGTGTAAATGAGACACTCAATTTATTTAATGCAAAACGCAATGGCAATATCTTTCATTGAAGGATCAATTGCACGCAAACATTTAATTTCGTGGCTCTCAACCGTTTTCAGGCAATCGCTCATTTGGGTACATTCATCTTCTCCCCCTTCAGCAATATTTCTCAACTGCTTTCAAAACTACACGTATAATAAGTGTCCATGAAAAATGGCTCATTTCGTTGAGTGCATTCAAAGTGCATTTATTCACACATTCAATGTGCATTCTTTGTGGAAACTTTGAATTTTGATTTGAGTGAACAGATCAGAGTGAGCAGTACAAAACCAACCATGTTCTGCGTCGATTGAACAATAAAATCCGATGGCACACAACGAATGACCGTCAAATCCTGCACCACATTTCACTGGAATACCCGTCTCTTGATCCAGCAACGGATCTGATCCATCCGGGCATATCGCTTCTGGAGTCGACATCGGCGAGCGATCTAATAACAGAAATAATTAATAGTCTGATAAAACGATTATTCGGCAAAAGTGAAGCTGGAAAAGACAGGAACCTTCACTTGAAGTCGACCCTTTGCCAATAACTTCGAGAGATTCCTCGGATTCAGTGTCTTTGATGGTTTGAAGACTTGTGTCAATTTTTGGCTTGAAACGGCGATTTTTCGACTCTTTGCTGGATCGCAGAATGCTCTCTAGATCTAAACAACGAATCATTATTAGCAAACAAGCGAACTGTTATCAGAAAGGATTTCGTGACTTATAACAGTGCGATTAATGAATGAAATAACCACAATAACAGTAACTGGCGTAAATTGAGGCTAAAACAATGGCATTGTGGCTAGCAACGTTACAAACGTTTGATAGCCTGGCCAATCCAGGTAATAACAGTAGAAATAAATAAGAATAATCCTGATTAGAGTGATGATAAGAACTCTTAGGATCAATGAACTGAATACCAGAAAGCACCATTATCTCTTACCTATTTCATCGTTCGGGCAGCAAACATCCGGTGGTCCCATACGACAGTAATAACCACCTGGGCAACCGAATGAGTCGGTTTGATTACCGCACAGCACTGGTGCATTCTCACCGAGAGGCATCTTGCCACCAGGGCATGTTCCTGGCGCTGCTGGTTGCTGTTGATACTTTATACCGGCCCTACAGCGTTGTTCACACTCGTACTGGGTGGCGAAGTTGTTCGAGTTACCATTGCAACCACTGTAGTAGAACAATCTGCACACGTCAGCGCGCTTATCATAGAAATATCTCAGATGCGCCTCGTCACAATCGCCTTTATCCTGCGGCTCGGCGCAAGGATCGATTTTGGTTGGTCGCGTCTTGATCACGGCACGGCTGTATTGACGAGGTGCTTTTCCTGAATATTTTATATCGATAAGAGAGACGTCAGTATTCTGAGATGCTATTCATTCGGCACCGCTGTCACGAGAATCCATGAACCATTGCATAGTCATTGAATAAACAGTCATAACAGTGGAATGTTTGATGATGAACGAAATTAATGTAAATTCGATGGATCAGTTAATTTTGATGAAATATCACCAAATTAAAATGGAATTAAACATTAATAAAAAATTGTCATAATGAGATTCGTGAAGTTGATACCGTGATAGAGGAGAGTAGAGAAAAGTAAAGAAACGAACCATCGATGCGAACAGGATGATTGATCAAGTCCAACGAGAACGATGGTGTTGGTGAAGCGGATCGACGAGCACGTCTTCGGCCTTCTGCTGAGAGCGAGTTCAGCACCGATGTGGATTTCTTATAGCCGTAACGTTCTTCATCACCGTTATATCCTTTAATATTTATCGTTTACTTACGATTCACGAACAAACATTGCGTTTTAATCAGCCAATTGATCAACCACATACACTACTTTTTGATCTGACAATAAGGTCAAATCCTCAAAAAATGGTATCTGTAAGAGGAGAAGAATTGAAACATTTTATCTGAACAACAAATGATTTTCATTTATTGGTTCTTTCTGTTATACTGACAACGTCCGGAAGCACTGTGCGTTACTCAGATTTATTTGTCACTCTTTTAAGGCATAGAGATTCGATGTACGCAAATGAAAGTCTTTAAATGGAAATAAATCAAATGAAAGTATTCACACCTCCAAAAATATGTTTATCGTATGGATCATCAGCGTTTGGACAGCAGAAGAAGTCCATTCCGTTGAAGAAGCACGATGACCTGGTTGGACATTGGTCTTTACCCGGTAAACATAAGATTGGTTTACCATCAGAATATTGCATTGCCTTCAAGCCATTCGGGCATACCGGTACGCGATATTGTTGTTTCCCTCCGGCGAATGGTAACGCATCTGTCTCTGAGGAGGTTTGCGGTGGAGCTTCGATACTCGAGAGAATATGGTCTAAATGCTGTGTTGACGGCACTTCACCCAGTTCTTCAACTTGGTCTGTTCCGTCTGAAGTTTATTTTTTGTTACTATCGATATTGTCATTGGTTCCCATTACTTATATTATACTTAAATCATTCCTACTACTATTTTTCATTGGCTTGTCCCTGTAGCATTCAGAAATGTGATTTTCCGAGATGGAACTCACGCGTCTCGTTATCCTACCATTGACCTTACTATTATTGTTATTATTATTATTGCTATTATCAGTCTACCTTTATTCACTCGCCCATCACCTTGGTAGTTGATTTGCATCGGTGGCGATGGCGCTATAACACCAACACGTTCGCCACTAATTCCTCCGGCAGCAGCTTGTTTCCGATTCAAAAGTTTTGCTTTATACTCCTCTTTGATCGTCTCCCACTGAGCGTTGTCCATGTTATCAGTAACTTCCTGTTGTTGTTGTTGTTGTTCATTACCCTCAGCTGAGGATTGTGATTCTTGTGTAACTGAATCGCTCACTCCATCGATATTTGCGGAACTGAAAATTTTCGATCTTTCATCAATGAAGACACTCGCTTGGGAGGAATTCTTACCATCTACAGTGAAATTTTTATTTTTTTTCAATCGTCAGTAAAATTTTCATTTTTTACGACCAAAGAGGCTGAATTAAATGCGGAGCAATGCTTACATTGATTGGTGTGTCGGTCCTGTCTGTGCAATGGAAGTACCGTGGAAGGCGAGTTGTTGTTCGTTGAGTTTCTTGGTTTTATTTGGGCCGCGATGCCTTAGCGTGGATGAAGTGGCTTGATGTTGCGATTGATGATGTTCGCTTCGAGAGTGAGTTATGGTTGAAGAGGACTTCATCGACGAATGCGATTTCGGTGAGAAACCGATGCCTTGAACGGCTGAAATGCATAGATTAACCACGTGAAACAATACGTAGAATAAGGATTGGGATTGAGAGATAAGAGATATTTGAGTAAGGAATTCTTTCGGATTAAAAATTCAAAATATAACAGTGAAAATAACTTACGAACACAAGATGACTGACAATCGCCCAGCGATGAGAACTGGTTATCGTTACCACCTTCACCTTGGTAAACCATCTGTTCACATCTCAGATTCCTGGTGTTGAAGTACCATTTCACATTGTATCCACCACCGAAACCTTCGTCTTTTGGATTTGTGCAACGCTCTGGCACTTGCGACTTTATTGAGTCACTTCCTGAAATTGCAACCGCATTGCTAAGTAATCTACAAGTAAACTGCTACGGGTGTTCGCATGCGATTACTCTCCAGCCGTTTACAATGAACGGTCAAATTATCAACGATATGGAAGATCAATTCAAATGCAACAATATTAATATGAATTATTCAAATTTGATTTTAATAATAGCAACAGTCGCAATAACGACAACAGAAATAGTAATGATATTAGCAATAATATTGATAAAAACATTGCTAATTACTGATGATAATATAAGAATAATAACAGTAAGTTAGCAAATAACTGAATAAACCAGATGTCAGATGAAACGAACCTGATTGGCATTTCGCTTCACAAGTTTGTTTGTCGATGAAATTATTCGTGTTACCACCGCACGAACCATACGTGAATTGCTCGCAAAGACCCGACTGAGAATTGTAAAACCAGCGCATATTATACTCCAAACAAGGTCCTACATCCGGTGCCAGAACACACGTATCGTCGTATTCGATCTGTGATTCTGACGCACTCTTTGCAAACTGAACTCGGTGTTTCTCTTCGGCGGAAACTTTTTGAGGTGGTCCAAAAATATCAGTTTCATCGCCACGATTTATTGTTGAGGCGACTCGCTTTGGTTGTTCCTCACCTTGTTGCTGTAGCTCAGTGTTTACTTGGAACTCTCCAGTGCCTGAAACATTAATTGAGATGATAATTTCTTGATGATTTCTGAAATTTTCGCGAGTTTATAAAATAATATGATCATAGGGTAGATCGAGTGTCCCCGTTAAGATGCATTTAATTGGCAAAATAATACTGTTGATATATAACGAAAAATATTTGTATTGATAATTGTGGCGATTGAATGATTCATCAGAAATAACATTTAGTTTGACTTTATAAAGAAAGTGATCGACAAATCGTGCAAATTGTGAATTCAATTCAGCCATAATAATCAGGCTTTAATATAAAATTGCCAACTGAATGCAACCAGTACGTATTGCATTGTGCTGAATGAGTGTCATTTTTGAGTGAACATTGTGATAATCAGTGATAAAATCGCTTCATAAACGATGTGACGGTTCAAATCAAACGAAATTGTTCATGCGTATAAAACACAAAGTGCGAAATAAACCCTATCAATCAAATAGAATCAACTCAAATCGCTTGCTAAACAATGAAATTCGTGTGAAAAGTGTTTCCCAAAATGCAACTGAAATGCGATCAAAATGCATAAAACTCTGAAAATCATTCACAAATCAACAACACCAAATAACCTTGTGATCTGTCATCATTCTGATCACTGTTGATATCGTTCAATTCAGCAGTTTCCTCTGCGATCTCCATACCATTGATAGCATCCGTGTCACCCGTAGCATGCATTCGCGATCGTGCGCGATTCATAGCGCGATGATTGTGCATATTCTTTCTCAGATGATGGCGATTCCGGCGACTTTGCGCAAGAACTTGCGATATCATGCTGTCAATGGATTCATCAATTGACTTCTCAGCGTTTGCTATACTCTGCTTGATACGTTCACTCTCAGCTGTATCAGAAGTCATAGAGTTAGCATTCTGCTGAGTGCTCAAACCAGCAATGTTTTGATTGGTATTGAATTGCTGTTCGTTGAAATCTGGATGTTGGGTTGGAACTGCTGGTGCATTATTAATGTTGTTCATAAGTGCGTTTCGATCGAAGTTCAGTGAAGAAGACGAAGAAAATGCATTCGATTCGAGACCATTTTGTGCCGAACTACCGCCACCACGCAACGAGAATTGCTGACTACTCGCCACCGACTCGCTATCACCCGACGAAGTTGGCACTGGTGATGGTGCTGCTACCGCAGGCGCAGTCATTTCGGGCGCTGATACAGCAGGTAAACTAGGAGGCAATTCTGGTTGGATTGCTACTGGTTGTACTGGTGCTATTGGTAAGGATGTTAGCACTAATGTTTTTGAAGGCGAGGATGTATCGGGCGCGTTTGGAGGAGATGTAGGAAGTGAAGATTCAGCATTGGTGGTGGGTAAAACGGGTAAACTGGCTGCGGTTGACGGTTCATCAGGAGCGCTCATGACTATCGTTGATAAAGTAGGCAATGCGGTGGGATACGTTGGTGATGTGGTGGTGCTGGTGGATGCAGGTGCAGTACTAGTGGTAGTAGGTATATTGGGCGCATTTGTAGTGCTAGACGGGGATTCAACAGCCGTAACGATGGAACCAGGTGGAGTTTCCGTGCTGGCTTCTTGTGCACTAGGTGATATTTGAGTGGAATACTGAGCGATTGGTGAAGTTTCAGACGGCGGTAATGTTGTGCTTGTAGTGATTTGGGGTGGTTCAGGGGTAATGGGTAGTGTTGTGCTAGTCAATGGTGCATTCTCAGCTGTAGCAGATGAAGATTTGGGTACTGTGCCCATACCTCCAAGAACTGGACTGAGAGTGCTTGGTGCGTCGGTGGGCAGCTCAATTCTAACTTGTTTCAGCTTTGTTAACTCATCTTCAGTTGTGATCTGAACAATAGAACCTGAAAAATATAAGATACTGACTTTGCGAACGGGATATTACTACGATAGTGTGCTCAAGTTCATAGAAATAGACCAATAAGAGCTGATTAAGATTCAATTTGTAGTGACGATTTGACGGTGTCCGTAGTTTTTAGTTTTCTGAAGAAATGAGTAAGTGAGTAAAGAGGATGGATATACGTGCAGAAAATCACTTTCCTAGTTGCAGAGTTCCAGTGGAATTGATGAAGTTACAAATAACAGGCTAATAATAAACGAGA